CGACCGGTTTATTCCTCGACTTACGACCGGTTTATTCCTCGACTTACGACCGGTTGGGGGTCGCGGCATTAAAAAGATTGAGAACCACTGCTCTAAATGCTATTGCTATTGCTATCTGGCCTGCTAATCATTTTTCACTTCCCATAGGAGAAGATTGGGGAGCTGGTAAAAAAGATGTTGGAAGACTTTGGCTCCCAGCGTTACATTGCCAATTTGGGCCACGGCCTCTATCCTGACATCGATCCAGAACACGTAGGGGCTTTTGTGGATGCTGTGCACATGCATTCTCGCAATTTGAACAAATGTTCTTAGAGATTGGGAGAAAACAGTCCTTAAGCAAAAAAAAAAAAGAAAAGAAAAAGAAGTGGATGATCTGCTAAGCAAATGTAACCGTTTTTGAGAGGTAACATGCTGGAAAGGATCTCAGTGTAATTAGCTACAAAGACTGCTGCAGGAACTGGCAAAAGGAACCAGATTTTTCACACATATGTTATATTCTTCTCAATCTCTACCATAGAAAATGGACTCATTATGACACATACATTGCCCCAGCTGTGTACTTTTTATCCCCAAATTGCTCCTACTGGTTACAACACTAATCCGAGCACCTCTTGACAATCAGTGAACACCTTTTATTATAATTGAACTTCATCTGCCCTTCCACACAGAATTTGGCAGTCTTATCTTGCTTCCTACCCATCCGTTTTTTGCAGAAATACTTTTTTATTATTTTGGTTGCTTTTAATCTGCAGAAGTGCCACAAGGGTGGTGCTTTTAATGTGGGGAGAAGTTCAAAACATCTGAGGGGGTGGAGATATGCCTCATGCATATGCCTGAATGGTCTGTTTTTTGCAGGTTAAGTATCCTGTGTCTGAGGAAAGGATACTCGGTCCCCTTTTAGCTTACAATGCAAATTACCTTGATTATACCAGAAAAGGAAGAAATATATCCTCCCCTTCCAGTTGCAGAATAGGGAACTGTAACCTCTCCATGATTCTATCTCAGTAGCAGCACAGATTGTCTTTGAATGGCTTTCCTTTTCATGATTCCCGACTGGCAGCATGATACCAAAAGGGCTGGAGTGATACGATGAATGGCTTCCTTTTTTTTTATTATTAAACATCAGATCAAGAAGTTGTACATACAAAATAAAGAGACAGAAGAATGATACTTTTATGGCAACAAATACTGGGTGAGTAGGGCTTGTCTGGTCTTCGAACCAGTTTCTCAGGATTATTTTTTTTAAATAAAAAAACAAATTGGAGTCAGACAATACGTAATTTTAATCCACATTTCCTAAACTACGCTTCATCTTAACCCCTGCCCCATCCATTCCCTCCCTGCCCCTTTTAGAACTAAGATGCACTGGAACAGGGGAACACAAAGACATTTAGAAAAGGGGAAAAAACTATTTTGCTCCTGCTACACTCCCTTCCATGGGACCGAATTAAACATTCAGATGGATGCAAAGCCATAGTAGGAGATAAAGTAGCAGAAGCTATGGCAGAAAGCTGTCCTCAAGAAGGCACCAACCTTAGCAGATGCCAGCAAAGACAGTAGTTTTGAAATGAAATTGAGAATAAAGACACATATGCAGACGAATTGCCCCTGCTCCCCAGATGACAAAAAATAAAATAAAAACAGAACCCTTTCTAAATTCACAGAGTAATGCAACTCTTGCACAAATCAATTCATTTGCATGTGGAGAAAGGCCAAAAATAGAGCTTTTTATGCTATGGCCTCAACTGGCTCACAGTCTTGTTTCAGCTTCCTGGGGATCATTTTGAATCCCGTATCTGGAACCATGGTACGAAGTAGCAGAGTCAAGTAGTGTGCTGTGGCTTATAGCCAGTGGGCCAAGTCCACACCCTGATGGCCTTGAAATGCTGAGGTGTATCTGGCTTTGCGGTTGCCACCTTGGTCTCCTCTCTTCCAAGGTTGTGTGTTGGGGTAGTTCTGCTCAAGCTTTTGTTTATTTTCCATTGATCAAACCTCACCCACCTCTCTTTTTTTTTGCCAACAATGCTGGGAGAAAACCTGAGAAATATTCATATTTCTCACATTTGGAAAAGCTTAGCCCAGCCCACAACACATTTCAAGTATCCCCAAACAAAAACAAAACAAAACAAAAAAAAAAGAATAATTATAAATAATTAGAACTTTACAATTTAATCATTGACACATATACTATTGTATTTACAGTATCATAAATGCTTCTGTTACTTTTAGTAAAGCAATCCCTGAGAACCGTTAACTTTAGTTGTTTTTTTAATTAAGAATTTTCATACGCACCCACTTGCACACATACTAAACCAACCACCCCCAGCCTATAACACCCCCCCTCCCTCACCCCAGTTACTCTGGAGGCAACTCATCCTATTCCCCAGCCAAGCAAATAGTTTGAAGTCTGGCAAATCTGGAGTGTACCAGGTTGGGGAAGGCTGCACTAAATGGTGACGCCAGTAATGGCAGGATGCACATCTCAAAACCCACCAGCTGAGAATACAGATGGCAGCACAAGAGGCTGAGTAATGTGCTTCCATATTGGCTGCTTCTCTGCCTCCATCCACCATGCTGTTTGGGAAAGAGGTATTCAGTTTCCTAGTTAGCCTTTTGGTATTGCTGAAGTGTTTGCAAGTAAGTGGTCATTGGGAAGCAAACTCTTCCTGTCATGCTACTTTTGGTTTATGTTCCTGAAAGAATCGGGAGATTTCTCTACGATGAAAACTACAGTTAGTCTTGCCTGATAAGCATGATTCCACCAACAACGATCAGGGTTTCTTCTTCCTTTTTCCCTAATGCAGAAGTTCAACCAAATCGTTCTCGCACTAGCAACATAAGCTTCTTCTTGCCCTTATAGATCTGCTTAAGGTTGTCTATGAACTGCGCAAACTGAATGTGGCCATCTTGAGCAAGCAGGAACGTCTCCCGAGCTTTGCTCAGGAACTCAATAAACTCCCCGTAATGCCGTGGGCTGATGTGGGTAAGACGGGAGTGTGTGGTATTGATGTAAGCGCTTATTGTGGCATCCAGCAGTTGGCGCAAAGGTGCTTTGTCCGTCGACATCAGTTTCCCAGAGTTCCTGCGGCCAGGAATGCCAGCAAGGCCTGGTGCTGTCATGGTGCAGCGTCGCAGAATGTCAGACAGCACCGTGGCACAGTGCACGCTCTTTACTACCAATGGAATAATAGCTGCCAGCTCATTCTTGCCTAGGGAATGGCTGAGTGCGCATGCCCAAAGCACGTCATTGATGGCAGGGTGTGTGTCCTGGTTATAGGCAAGGTTGAGGTGTGTCATGGCAAGCGATGCCAGCTTGAAGGCCCGTAATGGGTACCCACGGTGCTCCATATACCGTGCAATGGTGAAGAGCTGGGAATAAGTCATGCCAGTGGATGCAGCATCTATAACAATTTGGTAAGCAGTCTCAAAAGCAATGTGGTCCTTCTCACAAAGGGTAAGAGCTGAGAGTGCACAGTTTTGCGGGTCCTTCATGGCACACTGCAGGGCCAGCGTGCGAGCACAACTAGCCAGTTCTTCTCGCTGTGGGTAGTCCAGGCTGAGGCGCAAGATGGTACTGTGGGACATCACCGTGGCTGCTACTATGCTAGTTGCTTCAGTAGGGGTAAAGAGTGAATACCAACTCTGCAAGATGCTGACTAGGGCCCGAACACCTGCAAAGAAAGAATCGTGAACTGCTCAGCCAGTAGTGAAGAACCAGCAAGGTTCATGCAATGGTGGTAAGTACAGTGAGCGATAATTGTATTTTCCTTTTCATCACCAAGGTCATAATTATGTCAGGAGACATAATACTGCAGTCAATTATATTTTTGTCTCTCACTGTCTTGAAAGTAGCATATCACTGTCTAGTTTAGCATTAGCCTGTAGGAGATGACCTCTCTCTTTTTTACAATGAAGGATTGAGCTCCATTGTAAAAAACATTAAAAAGATTGCTATAATTTGAGCTACTTACTGAATTCAATTGGAAAATGTCATATATCCTATCTATCCTATCTTCGTTTGGTGTGTTTTCCTTATAAATAAATCCTTAAATATTTGCAACCTAGGGAGCCAATATCGGGAGAAATAGAGTTAGAAATCACTCATCTTTATCATGAATTTGGGTATTAGTTGTCATCCAAATTTGGCTCTGGTGCCTAATAGCATCTTAATATCGTTTGGGTGAGCAGAATGTTTGGGGAATTATACTCTCAGAATCTCAAGCCCATGTTGAGAAAGGCTGAAATAGGCTCTCTCTAGGCTGCAGTCTTCATTTTAAGTATAGGTTCATGAAATACCTACCAACTTCTGTAGCACAGGTTACTAGCCATCGCACCATCTCCCGCCGTCTCCAGTTCAATGTTGACAAGGTCATGCGCATCACCTGCAGCAGTAGAAATGAGTAGAAAATATTTTTTTTCACCCACCAGTGATATCCAAAGAAATGGTTGCGTTCCCCTAGAGCAGCATATCGTAACAACTTAAAATGGTTTCAACCTGTTTTGAAGATTAACAGGTCTGGCTTCTACCTTCATAAGCTGCCTAGATTGGAGGCCACATGGGAAGCATAATGGCCCGTTTTGAATGTTTCAGTTGCGAAATGTTAAGTGTGGTTATTTAATTATTTAAATCAGGGATCCCCAACCTCTCCAGCTTTGTGGACCAGTGGCGGTGGCGAGAGGGGATGGTACTGTGTGAGGGGCAGGCGTGCATTCAGCTCCATTTGCACAAGCATTGAGTGTGCACGCACGCTGCTCACACAAATGGAGTTTCGCACACGTTCGCTTGCTGTTTGCTCAGCCCAGTTCCAATGGAATGTGGTCCAGTACTGGGCCATGGCCCGGGGGTTGGGGACCCTTGATTTAAATGGCCAGTATGGCCATAATCCTGTAAGAGAGCAGAGTTAGTGCTTAAGATCACAACTCGGCAGACTTTTTCTTTGGCTCATGGACATGTCATTAACCTTCAAGGCAGGCTTCCATCTTACTATGGAGATTTGGAAATTATTCATTTTTCTTGATTATTAATATCCTTACTTGTAGCCCCAACTCCAGTGCCACATTAAGTAGTGTTGTGTCAGCATTACTATCAGCAGGTGTGGCAATCTTAAAAGCATCCTGAGCCAGTTTGAAGATCAAGGAAGAGGAGTGGATGTTCTTCTGAATTGCTTCTAGGACAGTTCGTAGACGCAGCATGTCACCTGCAGTATAAGAACGTTTATCCATTATCCATCCAATAAACCTTTCTAAAATAATAGTAAATATCTTCCTATGTAAACTGGGTAAGCCTAAGCAACATTATTTTTATTTTGTATATCCTGCTAGAGAGAAATCAGTTTGAGGGCTCAAATATTCGATTACAGATTTCTTCTCAAACCTTTCAGTGTCTTTCCACTTAGCCTTTTTCAGTTCAAGCAAATATACCAAGGGATTCTATGACAAATCTGCATTTTGCCTGTTTCTGGAGCCAAGTAAGGAAATAAGTACAGATACTGCACAGAAATAAAAGGCTGTTACACAATGTATATCATTTTCAATCTGAACTGCAATCATAAATTACCAGACAAAAAAAAAGCTAGCAATATATATTAGCTCACATTAGATTGCATTATAAAAGTCAAAACATCTACAACAGCAAAACTTATTTTTTAAAAATTCAACTACAGATAAAAATATTTTCTATGGAATAAGTTTGGAGATGTCTCCAAAGCCCAAAGGTTTAATTTCCTGGCCTTTTGTTCACCTCAAGTAGTTAAATGTCCATCTGTCTTGCTAGGTGGACCATAAGATCAGAACCAAAACTGTTATTAAAAGTGGTTAGAGAGTAAAACACTATCAAGTGTGTCACACAGAAAGCAAAACAGCGGCAAGAGCCAGAAACCACTCAAAGGAAAATAAGACAAAGAGCAATTGGGTCCTAGTATAGTTCAGCAAAACTGTAGCTAATGAGCGTGATTTGCTCTTGTTTGTTTCAGAACTGTCTCTCTCGTAACATCTGGCCAAATATTAAGCACAGTTCAGGAAGAATACCTGGGCTAAAAACTGATGAGCCCTATGTAAGTGGGAATCCCATTAGATCTACAGTTCTTATACAGAAATCAAACCAAAGAAAGTGTCTCAAGGCTTTCCTCAATAGTAAGTAGGAAAAGTAATTGCCTGAAAAGGGGACATGAAGGAAGCAATTATATAAGTCACACAGAAGTAGTTTGTCCCATTAGGCCATCATTCCAATATTAGCAACTCTCCTAAATGCAGCACTGCAATATATCAGATGAGAAATCTGAGAGTAATTTAATTTTGCTTTTTGGGAGTTGTGGACTTCTGGGAGTCCCACTATCCAGTAAGGTAAGTATCCCTTCCTCCTAATATAGACAGCTGGGCTCACATCAACAAATGCAATTTGTCTTTGTTGATAAAGTGAGAAAGAATTATCTTGCCCAGCAGTTTCCCCTCTTCCATATAGCCCAGCAAGAAATAGTCTGCAGTTTGCTGGTACTAATCAGAAAGGCTGTGAGTAGGTCCACTATCTGCATGCAACTGATGTTCCCAGTTGCTCATGCACATCAACGCTTCTTTTTACTTCTCGGGCATCAAAAACATCTCGGCGTCAGAACGTTCTTGTCCAGATTGAAAGAAATTCTTGAAAAATGAAACAACTGCTGCATCCAACAATTACTCAGGAAAAGTTATTTCTATAATTCTCATTTATTTTTAATGAAATTACTGTATCCACTATTCTGCTAGACAGAAGTCTCTGCCTGATATGTACAAACTGACTTTCTATTAGATTTCTTTTGAAGGCCAGCGGTTGAATATTTCACCTGGATCTCTAGTGGTCTATGTTCAGTTATATTAGGAATCCTTCACCCACCTTTGGCTGCTGTCAGCATAGTGGAAGCAAGTTCACATTGTTGTGATTCCAAGTGCCCCAAAGTAAACCAACGGGGATACCTGCTAGGGACCACTGAGACAATATGGTGAGGATGTGTGACATCACCGGAGGGAGTTGTCTCCAAAACAGGCAGCCTAGGAAAAACAAAGCCACAACATTAGGTCAATAGAAGGATACCTGCTGGTAATCATATTAAATCCTCTCTGATTTGTCTTCTTGTGGCATGCTGGGGCAAGATGATGTGGAAAACCTTTCAAAGGCTTGCAGCAGCCTATGCTTGCCACACTAAACTTGAACAAACTGGAAATGTCACTAGAGAACTAAGAAGGGATTTAAATACTTGTAAAGAAAAATAAAACTTCAGATGTACACATTTCTTACAGTTTTATGTCAGAGCAAAACTTGATTTGCACCGCAGTTATCTGGTTCTGCTCTGGGGTGCAGGTGTAAGTTCTTGCTGGGTATCTTATGCACTTTAGAACTATTCGTTCACATTTTTATATAGATAGTCCTTGAGTTATGATGATGATTAGGAATGGAAGCATGGTATTACGTGACCACATTGCTTAACGACAGCAATCTCAGCAGTCTCCATTGCCATTGTTAACCAAATCCCACTGGCTATTAGATGAGGACCCACCTCAATCCAAATCATTCCCAGCTTCATCCTTCCCAGCCCCATGCCTCAGTAAAGTAAGGGATTGCCTCCTCTGCAGGCCTCCTGAATCACTGTGTGAACAGCACATGCGAGTTGGAGAATGGCACAAGCAGACTCAAGAAGGCCTGGCACAACCAGGGGCTGCTTTACATAGAGCCAGGCTAGGTGTGCCTTACCTGCTGGAAATAGTATTCATTCAGCAGCAGCATCGTAACTTCAAATGGTTACTGAGCCATTCTTGGTCATTAAGAAAGTACTGTAGTTAAGAGGCTCGGGAATCTAGGAAACATGAACCCCAAGCTCTTCTACCTAACTACATCTGCTACCCAGGATGTGCAGCAATTATCAACAGGCTACGGTTTCCGAGTTTATTTATTACAACCTTGTTGGTAATGGCAAATTACAATTGTCTATCGAGTCTAATCAACCCTCTGCACATTTGGTTGGAGCAGCAATGCACATTACTACATGTGACTTCATCAAGCAGTAGACTGTTCAGGAAGCCGTGCTGCAATTAAAATATACAGGTAGCCCTCACCAATTGTCTTGTTTAGCAACCATTCAAAGTTGAAAAACCCGTTTTTTGATGGGTCCTCAAATGTATGGTGGTCACAGCATCACTGTGATCATGTGTTCGCCATTTGGGCATTTTGCAACCAGCTTCTGAAGCAGATCAATTGAGAAGCCAGCAGTAAAATCACAAGTGACTGCTGTATCTTGCTTAACAACTGCAATGGTTCTGTGTTTAATGATGGAAGTGGAAGTGATATAAACCTGGTGCGGACACAAGATTTTTTGCTTAGTGTCTGTAGCACTTAATGACAGAGTTTCCAGCCCCAACTGTGGCCAATAAGTGAAGGCTTCCTATTAAGCTCTTGATTTTTGTATTCTCTATTATGGGCCTATGGCAGAAGCTATGATTTACAACTGAAACTTGCAACAATGGACCCACTAAAATTTCTACATTCTCTTTGATTAAAACGTAAATCCTAAGCTAGTAGAGAATTGATATTTATCAATGCAATTGACCAACCATGCTTGCTAATCAGCAACTCTATTTTCACATACTTAAAAAAACAGATCAACATATGTGAACATGCTTTCTTTAAAAATCTATTAAAATGCTGCAAGAATGTTGATATTGGAGAAAGTTGAGAAGAATGTAAGACATATGCCAAGCTTTAGTAAAAAAAATCTATCACTGTTGTTTTTACTTAATTTTATTAACAAAAGGAGTTTAAAAAAAAAGTGGTACCAACCTCATGGAGCGCAATGCCAGCTTGTAGGCCAGGTCAGCATCGTGGGGCAGTAAGGCAGAAAAGAGGTACTTTGCAAAAGTATGCATAGGCACACTCTCCCGGTGGATGACTTCACCAAGGCCACTAAAGGGACCACCTAGGCAAAAGCAGAACCATATCAGCGTCTCTCCTTCAACCAACCTTATTTATTTATCAGATTTATATCTTATTTTTACATCAAGAGTTCAAGATGGCACACAAAGTGCTCCTTCCTCCACCTGTCGCACAATAATCCTATGAGGTAGATTAGGCTCAGAGTATGTGACCGGCCTAAAGTCAACCAGTGAACTCCTATGGCTAATATTGGATATGAACCTGGATCTCTAATGTTATGACACAAATGGTTTGGAGGTATTCCTCTTCCCACCATATAATTTAGAACCAGATTCTCCTATTTGTCTTTCTGATATTTTCAACTCAGTGTGGTTAGAAAGACACAACTTGTCTTCTCCTTCCATCCCTATGGCAAAGGCCAAGTTACCCATTAATTCCCTCTACTTTTCACAGGAAACTGCAGACACATGAATACACAGGCTTTAGAGCCCACAGTGGAATGGGGGAGGGAAAAGCAGCATTTTTAAATCCATTGACATGGATTGTCTTCTAAATTTAACTGCCAGAGCCCTCTAGACAAGAAGCAACAGTAATCACTGCAAAGGGCTCCTGTTTCAGTAAAGAAAAAAAAGAAAGAAAGCAGGGGATGAGGAAATTATACATTAAAATTTCAAATTTAAGAAAATATTTGTGTAGTCCCTCTAATGCTCAGAGATTTAGGGCACTAAACTACTCACTGAACAAGATCAATAGACAAATCAATAGAGCTAGATCAATTCCCAGGGAGGGCATATTAAAAGACAGACCACAGAAATAGAACAATAGAACACTATTGGTTGTCACCTACAGCTCACAGCTCAAACCACTCAAATGTGTTGTTAATAATCTACAGCTTATACTGGGCAATGATACTGAATTTTCTGGAGCACTGAGTGCCAGGCCCATACTTGCATGCAGACAGCCACTCAGCCTGAATCAGATTCTCACAAGTAACAAAAGATAACATGGGAACCAGCCCCTGCAACAATCCCAGAAGTCCTCTTTGCCCTCACATCTATGTCAACAGCATTGTCACAGGCCCCAACAAGTACACATTAGAGGCCTTTCATATGCTTTCCCTCAATGTGATATGCCATGTGTATACCCTCATCTGCCAGCAATGCCCTTCTGCATGCTACATAGGACAAATGGAACAAACTTTGTGCAAAAGAATTCATGGACACAAATTTAATATCAAGACTCAAAACAAGGACAAAGTAATATCAGAACATTGCAACTTGCCAGGGTACATCACTGCAGATTGCAAAATGATTTTTTTTGGCAAAGATGGACTTTTAACAGCACCATCAAGCCAAGGCAATCTCAGAATGTCTCATCAAACACAATGCGTTTCTAACACATTACTTCAATCTGTTTCACATAGAACCTGCACCACCGTGTTCTCCCCTCCACTCTGCTCCCCTCACTCGAATTCTACCTATATACGTCTAGCCACTCTGTCGTCTAATAAAGTGAGTTGCAACTCACAAAAAATTGTGTCTTTCAATAAAACTGGTTAGTCAGAAAAAGAGTTATCAGTGTCCTCCTGAATCTTTTACCATCAAAGGCTAACACAGTTCTCTTCCTACAACCTCTAATATTAATCTGTAATCTGTATTATATAATCCTGATATTCTTAACTTCTTTTCCAATACATATTACTACCAAAGTCTTCTATTCAAAAATATTTTGATACCATTATCTCATTGGCATACTGTATGCTATTGTGACCAAGGGACACTGACTGGGTTTCCGATATGGAATTTACTAGAGGGAATCTAAAAAAAAATTCTGGTTTGTGGATACAGCTTTAGTTTCTCATGAGTGATTTCTCTCACCTTCCAGAAGCAGAATGCACTGCTTGCGTAGGGTCTGCACCAATATAGCATCAAGTTCCAGCTCTTGCAGGCAGGCAATAATCTGTTCCTCATTACGCCACACTTTGTCTTGCGCATAAAGGCCTTCTGGCATCACCCGTTGCTGCCCCATCCCCATCAGTGCCACTTCCAAAGCCAGAGATAGGTAGGATTCCCCACTCTCAGGGCAATTGTTGGCCACAGGCACATGCTGATACACTGGAGGCTTTGACTCACCAGCATCTGATGGTAAAGGAAAGAATTAAGAGGATAGGTGGATCAGATTCTGTATAGCAATTGTAATTTCTTCTCACGCCTTCCAAGACACACAATCAGGTTGGCTCTATTTATGCTATTGGTCCAAACTATCCACTCACAGCACAACACAGTGGCTGTTTTTGCTGCAACTCATGTGCTCAATTATGCTGGTGCAGCTGGGCTAAGCTGCACAGAGTCATTAATTCCATCCCACACCTTCTGCTTGGAGATGTACACTGCATAGGAATCATAAGGAGAATTAAACAAACCTTTGGACTATGAACAAATGAAATACTGCTTACTCTGCTAGTAGGTGAAATATTTTTGCATTTTTCACACAAAGAACTTGATTTCTCTTGATTTTCTCAGTTCCTAGGGAATATCCTGTGCTTATCAGGAGAAGTCAACCATGCCAAGTGCAGATGCCAAAGAGCAGAACGTCAAAGATATCTTATTATTATTTGTCATGTAGCTAAAGAGCTACGTGACAAAAGTCTAAGTGCCAGTGGAAGGCTGCATCTCCTCTCTCACAGGAAAATTTCCATTGAAAATTGTGGGGTGGGCTTTTCTTATTTATTCATATACATACAGCTTTTAGACAAAAAATAAGCATTCAATAACAACAACAGGAATCTGTGGATGGCTCCAAACTGAACACAGGGGAAAAGAACAGAAGCTGGTTTGAATTCAAAGCGTGCAATCTGAAGTTCTCATTCTCCTACCTGAAATATCAAGGCTGTTTTCATCCTCTATTCGACATGCTTCTGTCAGAGTGAGAAATAAGCAGCCAATCGGATTGAGAGGATGTCCTACCCAGCTTTCCAGGTTTGTGATGGTGGTTGCTCCTCTTTGCAATAGTTCTAGAGGACAGCACAAAACAAGAAAAATCCCAGAGTAAGGTCATAGGGGGCATCCTCTTTGGCTTCATCTTCCAAAAACATATTGTTCAAAACTATCCCTGAAAATGTGCAATAGATATTAGGGATTCCTTTCAATTTGTTGTATCTATTCTCTGTTCTTCCATTTTGACAAGGTTGTTCCAACAAAGTTGTGTCCAGTTTGGCTTCAGATTTTGAAATATTGTAAGTTCCATGCATTCTGTGTTTACAAAAAGACCAATGGCCAACTCAAGTCGAACAGCAGTCACGTATGCAAGTATCCTCTATATGGGCAACATCAACTACAAATGGACAGTTGTTCTTTAAAAGATAGTTGCAGAAATAATTGCCCTATGGTTAAAATTTGTTTGGAAAGATCAGGATGGCAAACTAGGGATCTGTTATGTTCCAAACAGCACAAAAATAATGTATCAAGAAGTCCAAATTAACATTCAGAAAGTTCGAGTGGAACCAAAGTCAAAAACACAAGCTAATTCATACCTTTCTTCTGATGCTTGTATATCTCCAGCTGCCTCTGTTGTTGCAGTCTCAGAGTGTTGATTATGGCCACAGTTAGACGGAGTGCCTCCTTGGGGTATCCATGGGACCGTAGGGCATCAACCCGGGCACAAGCAGTTGGAACATGTTCTATGGCATCATGTAAGGATAAGAAGGCAATTAAGCCTCAGTTAGAGACAAATGAATTATATAGACAGTTTATGCTAAAGAATCAGCTACACACTGGGAATTTAAGGTTAAGCTTTATTTATATATTCTGTTCTGTTGATTTCCTCCCCCCTTTAACTATGACAAACATGCATGATGCTTGCTTGATTTTTTGCTTGCCTTTTTCATAGGGCAGCATTGAATGCTGTAATATGCAGCTCATGTACTATATTTCAGCTCTTGTATCTGCCAAACAAACTATTGTCCTAACCTTGTGTTTTTAATAAAACCAAATAAAATCCATAGTGATATAATATTCATCCATGAAACAGATTTTTCAACTCCTTCCATTCAAAAGATAACCCAAATACACAAAGGTAATATTTTTCCTGATTATAGTATATAATATTAAATGAAAATATTAAAAGATCCCCCTTTCAGAAAAAAAGGCAAACGAGGGAACAACTGTAAACTATCATAGTCTTTTCTCCTAGCATTCTAATTTTATTGTAAAAGAAAGTTGTCTATGTACAGTATGTTTTGTACTTTTCCTGGTCCCATAGTCTTACAGCAATACATCTGGCAGTCAAATGGAGCCACAGTTACAATTCCATCCTTCAAACCTCCTCTTTACTCAAAGCTCTTTATGAAATAGAAGCCTGATGTAGCCGTCTATCTTTTATAACTTCTGCTCAACCTCTAGAATATCCCTCTGGAAGTGATTTTGTATCAAGTGTATGTTCTGTGCCATTCCTGATAGAGAGAACAATGTGTCATGTGGCAACACAACTGCATGGCATAGAAATTAATCTGTTCTTGATTATTGTTCCACCACCCCCCAAAATCACAGTGACTTGGAGAGGAACAGATGACACAGAATGGTGGGAAAGCTGTAAAGAATTTCTTCCTCTCGAAATGTCCCGTTGTGGGGAATGCAGACAGAAAGCCACAGGAGTGGACAATCTGTGAAGAAAATATTTTTGTAATGATAGCTACATCCCCTTTCCTTGTCATCCTCCAAATCCTCAGTTGATTTGCTCCATGGGTTTTAATGCTCTTGAAGAACACGCTTGGGTCCCTTTCAAGAAAGTTTGCTCATTGTATGTATAGTATGCACACCTTTTCAAAATTATACCATTCAAGTGTTCCTGGCAAATCAAAAACAAATCCTCAGTGCTCCCAATGTCCTCCAGGAGGAGCTCCAAGAAAAAGAAGCAAGAAGATTGGACAATGCGTTTCATTTATGTCTTTGGCCAATTCAAATAATAAGGACTCAGGAGGAGGAGAAGAAAGATGCAGAGATGGCTAAAAAGTTTTGTCACCTAACCCAGGTCCCATGCACGCTATATCCCTGAATTTCTGTACTCTGTGCTACATAGGTCCTACTTTCCTAATGAAGCTGTAAAGAGGTGGATCTATAACATGATATGGGACTAATTTAGGACGGCAGGGGTCATTGATATAGACGAAAAACCCATTACAGTCTCACTGTACAATCATTATATAACTTCAGTGTTTGGCTACAGATTTCAGTTTTAATGCCTTTCATTTAATTTAAACCAATTTGTTATTTTGTTATTAGTAGAATTTCTGGTATAGTTGCCAATGCACTATTGCATTTAATTACAACACCAGCAGCACACTCTTTCCATACTGCATTAGAAGTGTTTCAATACACAATATCCCAATACAGAGCTAGGAAAAAAGGGCTACTTTAGTTCCTGTGAGTACTGTGAGGCCCTGTGAGCACTGAGTATTGCCAGAGACTGAGGCTTCTCAACTTCTGGAAAGTAAGTAAGCGAAGTAGGTCTCCTTAGAGAGGGACAGCACCCACAAATGCAAGAATATTGTTCTGTCCTAGAGGGATCACAGTTTTTTCTTCAACAAATATTCTTTTGAAAAATAAAACTGCACAGCAACCAGAACAAGGAAGCTTACCCAGCCACAACGGTTGTCCTTGTGAGTTGAAAAGAAGGCCCTCACCCTCCCTGGGGTAAGATGGAGAAATGTAGAAATCACTGCTGATTATTCGCTGGAGGTGACTGTCCTGCCAGTGGAGGTCACAGCCTTCAATGGCACGAGTGAATACTGTGCGCCGTGGCCTTGTTAAAGAGCCTACAAGGAAAAAAAAACAGGTAAGAACATAAAAACCCAAGTAGCATCCTGCTGGATCAGACCCCTGACCCATCCAACAGGTCATTGATTCTCACAGGGGACAGTCAATTGCTCAAGGAAGCTAACTAGTTTCCCAGCAGATGGCCATCAAAAGCAGTCACTCATCCATCAAGGCTAATCATACAGAACATCCAAGCACAGAGTAGTCTTCCCAAACTATTCACCCTGCTTGGGGCAATCCATTTGTCACAATGGACCTGTTTACCACCAAAGTGCTCACAAGCATCAAAACTGAACATAGGGAAAGGATACTACAACTTAACCCCTGACAGAAGGGCTAGGAAGAGTTCTAAGCAGGTCACTGAAGCAAGCACTGTATTCTTTTGCACACTAGGACAGGAACTCTATGCTGTGCTATTCACACAATTTATAAGCTACCTTTTGGCATTAAAAAAAACCAGACTCGGAGAACATCAAAATCTTTGTATAGCATTCCAGGTCTATTGTCACCATAATAATTCTATTAGCAGCATTTGTTGCCATTTCCAATATAATAAGGTCAGGGCAAGAACACTGTTGCCGTGCCATGTTGAAAATTTCTCTCCCAATATGAACACTGGGAAGCAACGACTTGGAAACTTTGTAAATAAAGATTGTGACATCAAGCCCCTGATATATTATATGTTAAGTAATATGAGTCAATTTTTATGCATTCAACCTGCATGGGGGTTCATTTTAAGGGCCGGACTGAGATTTTTAATTCAAACAAAATGTACATATCTGAAGCTGGGGAGGAATTGTTTGAGACTGCAAAGCATACAAAAGATGCTTTTGCTGACTATTGTTAGCAAAACTGTCATAACAAATATTGTTATAAGATCCAGCTACGGTATACAAATTATAGCATCTCCAGCCCAAAACAGCATAGGGAAATAATTAAGGAGACAGATAACGCTGATCAATTCTTTTCTAAACTGGATAATTTCCAGTTAATATTACAACAACAAAAAACAACCTACAGCAGGGTCCAACCACTGCCTGGTACTGATAACTGAGCAAGAATACAGGGAAGGAAGTAAAGAGAAAATCAGGAACAGAGGAAGAGAGAGAGAGAAGCCACCATCCCATTAAGAGATTGGGAGCTAGGAAGAACACAAGATTTATAGAGCTCTGACAATCTGAGTCAAAACCATTTTCCTTCAAGTGGGACATTTTAATAAGAACTAGACAACCCGTGCCCCATCATTTCAAAGATAATCTCTTACGTAAACAGGGAAACAGAATGACCACTGGCAGCAAAAAAACAGTGGGAGGGGGGAATGATTTCCAACTTCCAGCCAACTTCCCCACTGACTTTCCTTGTAGAAAGCTGGCAAGGAGTGTTGCAAATGATGATCACATGACTGCAGCTGACATTGTGGCAGCGCAGCAGCATTGAAGCAGCCACAATTTTTGCCAAATTTGCAAAATCTTGCCCACAAGAGTCATGGGTCCTGAATCCTGTAAATTGGCCTATTTGACTCAAAAATTGTTGCTCTATGATGCACCATTTCACCCAATTGAAGGTTACAAGCAATCAGTCACGAGAATGCAGATTAACATTATGCACAGCATGTAATATCAGGCAAGATTCTTTTGTTCATTGATCTACCAGCTGAAATGCAGAACAACAGTCCTATGCCATGAATTAGATTGCTATTAATCCACAACTGGGATCTTATAAGATTATTTTTAGCTGTTTATGGAAACTAGAGAAAGATGTTACAGAATAGACAGTGAAACAATCTCCGCTACACTTACTTTGCCTGTGACTAGAGCTCTGAGTAAGTGCACTAGTGATGTTGGGAAGTTCATTGCTGTAGTTTCCATCTTCCAGTGGACAAACATCCATATCACCCCACTTCCGGAGCTGTCGCAGCCAGCATGCCTTTTCTTCTAGCGTGCAGTGTGGATTTAATACAACGCACACCCATAGGGCCCCTGTAAGAGCAAACCAAGTGTCGAAATGCATTCAGTATTTTTCTACTTGAGCAGGCAACAAGAGTACCCCCATAGGTTCTTTGCTTTGAAGATTTTGGAAATGTTTACATCTTGTTTCAGGGAACTGCACTGAGCCCAGAGGGAGAATTTATAAAAGAAACTAGCTAACTAACTCAAGAAAACATCTTCCATAAATCAGCTTAATTGTATCCCTCAGAGCTGAAAATGGAGAGGCAATGTGCATCCGAGATTATTTCTGTCTGCCAGGATAGATCAACTGTTTGAACTGTACTTCAAAGACTGCTTAAATGTATGCCAGCAATCCCCACATGATAGCCAAATTTCTATACTGCACACTTACTCCATTTTAGAAAAGCAGTAGGCAAGTGGCATTTGCCCCATGATCAGCAGCAACAGTGTAATTACTGCTCCCAGTACTGCAGTTTAGATTTGCAGGTCAGTAAATGCTGTATATGTAAATATATATATTAAGTACTCTTTGGCAAAAGAATTTGAAATTAAGCAAAGACTAAAGGAACAGTTGCCTTTCAATTGAGTTTCACTTCTAATGACTTTGTGGCCAGGAATGCATATAGTTTTCTTGGCACCCATATGGAAAAAATGTTTTTATTCCACAATGCTTTTTTTCAGTTTCCAATTTAGCCTTCAACCCTTGCATTTTCCATTGATCTCCTATCCCAACCAGGCTCAACACTTAAGTTTTTCAGGCCAGCTGAGGTCAATTAGATGCTGATGAGTGACACAGATATAAAGCCAAAAAAACCCACACTTAACTCTGGATGATTGTTTACAGTTTTAAAAGAGATTATGAATTTTATGCATATCACATGATTTGTGGCTACCTCTATTTTTATATGCTGTTCTTAATTATATACTTCATACTTTGCAACTATCTCTTAAAATACTTTTTCCTGCCTGTGAGCAAACATCTCCTCTAGATTTTATTATTATTCCATTTGATTAAAATATTTTTTGTCAGAAATCCTAAGACGCATAAAGATGCAGTAAATGCAGATATATGTTTAAGTATCTAATAACAGAGTGTGCAGATTTCTGTATAACTGGAAAACTTGTACAAGCAGCTCTAAGAAAAGGTTTTCTATACCTGGAAAATTAAACTCTCAGGATGCGCACTTTAAGTAGGTTTCACACCTCTTAGAACTGGAATTGACTGGGTCATTCTCCTAAGCCTGAACCAATTTCATCCAAAACCAGGGATTACAGGCCTTTATGATTTGCGATTCACTGAGCTTAATGTTCACCAATTACGTGCTTACATTGATTTAACAGAAGTCTATACATTTGTTGTACTTGGTATCTGTGACACAGAATTGTGCAAATGTTATCTTTAGAATGGAGTAAGCAGCACTGGATCGTGGTGCAGGGCCAGGTTATTTGAGGGGCTTGCTATCTTCCATGATTCCTGCCAATCCAGTAAGATTGGAGAGAGCTGGGGTTCTTTGGGTCCCAGGAAGCATGCCTTCTCTGTTATGGTGCTTGCCCTCTGGAACAAAATTTCCCCAGAGAATGTGGGATTCCCATCTGGATGTGTTCTGGAAATCTTTAAAAACCTGGCTACTGCTTCATGATCTTGGGGAAGGGTTTTTGGGGAGCCTCTGTCAGTTGTGTTTTTCTAGTATATGTAGTATATTTTGCCCAGACATACATAATGTCTTTTGTTGTTTTCATTGTTTTTGTTCTTCTACAGTGTAAACTATGAGTTGCTCTTGAGTTGGGCAATCTACATCAAAACAAACAAATAAACCAAACTTGATGGTCAGTCTTTTTATTATTTAATCTTCTCTATATCTATATCTTTCCCTTTCCAGTCTTTCCATATACTTCTAAGGACATCTTCGTATGAGAATTTCGCTCCATTTGAAACCATCACTTAGGAATCTATGATCCCATGACACCAGTTGTATTTGACAGCCAAGCAGTTTTGTTTCTGGCTCAGCTATGGTATGTTTAAAAACCACAATAAATTAGTTGTTCCCAGGAAGGATTGGGAGCCCATAGAACTGTGGAGAGTCTCTTTCCCAATTCCAGAAACTCCTGCCTCACCCAGGGCTTCAGCCCTCAGCAGATGTTTCAAGAAACATTGTGGCTTGGCAGCAACCCTTCCAGGAATTGTTCAGGGTTGTTCTTTTTTTGGACACAATCAGAAAACTGTATACAGCAAGCATGACATAAGGATGTGGATGAAAATGGGGTACAGAGCAAGTCATTTATTTCCATTTTGATAGAGAAGCAAGTAAGAAACTTTTTGCTCCTCCAGCTCCTGCATCAACTGGAGGCAAGTTAATGGATTTTTTGCACTCCTTGGTAGAAGTGTGGACTTCTTTAAAAAAATTGCTTTTGAGTGCTTAGGAAACTAGTGGCAGAGTGAAAGGGCCCTGAATATGTAAATAGCCACTCCCAGCCTCCCCTGCTACTAAGCATCTCAAGTTCCCTCATATTTCCCAGACTGTCCCCTTCATTATGGAATTGGGATGATTTGGGGATTTTCTTTTTGAGCCTAACCATAAATGCAGGGTAGCCATCCTTGAGGTTCTAAGAGTTTCCCTCCTCATACTGAACAGAAAAAAAGAAGCTTTACAGATCTGACTTTTTTCAAGTTTCCTAGCTGGCAAGTCTGCTCCTGATGTCCAGTGGCCTCTTTTCCAAAGCTGGCAGTTTAAAGAATCAGATCTTTTGATAAAGAGCCACAATGCTCAGCATAAAGTAATACATAGATCTGACTCCTGGGTGGCAGGTTTTTAAACTCTTTCTTTCTTTTATACAAAACAATGCATCTCAACATCAGACTGCTGGGAATGAATAGAATAAAACAGAATAATAGAGTTGGAAGGTACCTTAGAGGTCATCTAGTCCAATCCCCTGCTCAGGCAGGAAATCCTATACCATTTCAGACAATGTCCAATCTCTTCTTAAAAACTTCCAATGTTGGAGCATTCACAACTTCTGGAGCCATGTTGTTCCACTGATTAATTGTTCCAACTGTCAGGAAATTTCTCCTTAGTTCTAGATTGCTTCTCTCCTTGATTAGTTTCCATCCACTGCTTCTTGTCCTGCCTTCAGATGCTTTGAAGAATAGCTTGACTCCCTCTTCGTTATGGCAACTCGAGATATTGGAACACTGCTAGCATGTCATCCCTAGTCCTTCTTTTCATTAAACTAGACATACCCAATTCCAGCAACTATTCTTTGTATGTTTTAGCCTCCAGTCCCCTGATCATCTTTGTTGCTCTTCTCTGCACTCTTTCTAGAGTCTCAACATCTTTTTTATATTGTGGTGACCAAAACTGGATGCAGTATTCCAAGTGTGGTTTTACCAAGGCATTATAAAGTGATATTAACACTTCACGTGATCTTGATTCCATCCCTTTGTTAATGCAGCCTAGAACTGTGTTCACTTTTTTGGTAGCTGAAAGCACACTGCTGGCTCATATTTAAGTGATTATCCACTAGGACTCCAAGATCCCTCTCACAGTTGCTACTATTGAGCAAGGTGCCACCATTATATTATACCTGTGCATTTGGTTTTTCTTGCCTAAATGTAGAACCTTACTTTTTTCACCACTGAATTTCATTTTGTTAGATAGAGCCCAATGTTCAAGTCTGCCAAGATCCTTCTGTATCTTATGTCTATTTTCTGGAGTGTTGGCTATTTTTGCCAGCTTGGTGTCGTCTGCAGATTTGATGAGTTCCCCATCATCTTCATTGATGGTTGAAGAGTACTGGGCCTAAAACAGAGCCTTGGGGTACCCCACTGCATATTTCCCTCCATGTATATGCAGTTCCATTGAGGACGACATGTTGAGTGTGGTGGGTCAGCCAGTTATGAATCCATCTGGTGGTGATGCTATCCAATCCACATTTTTCTATCTTATCAAGTAGGGGGTTGTGGTCTATTTTATAAAATGCCTTACTGAAGTTCAAGTAAATTATATCCACAATATTCCTCTGGTCCACTAATTTTGTCACTTTGTCAAAGAATGCAATAAGATTTGTCTGTCATGATCTGTTTTTGACAAATCCACGTTGGCTTTTGGTTATGACTTTGTTTGCCTCTAGGTATTCGCTGATTCGTTGCTAGATTATCTTTTCCAGAATCTTCCCAGGTATTGAGGTCAGGCTGACAGATCTGTAGTTTCCTGGATATTTTTTTCCCCTTTTTTGAAGATGGGAACTATATCAGCTCGTTTCCAGTCCTCTGATAGTTTCCTGGTGCTCCAGGATCTTTGAAAGATATAGTTCAGTGGTTCTGAGATCACGTCTGCCAGTTCCTTCAGAACTTTGGGGTATAATCCATCTGGTCCTGGTGATTTGAACTCGTCTAGGGTGGACAGCTGCTCACTTACAATTTTCTTGCCTAACTTAACTTGTGTTTCTAATCTGTTTTTTACGGTACTGTTTTTGATAGGTTGGACTGTTTTTCTTTTTGTGTGAAGATGAATGCAAAAAAACAAGTTAAGCAGTTCTGCTTTCTCCCTGTTGCTTGTCACCTTCTCACCACTTTCTCCCATTAATGGACCAATTGTTTCCTTGACTTTTTTCTAGTTTTTTACATGTTGAAAGTAGCTTTTTTGTTATTTTTTACTTTCGTTGCAAGCCTTAGCTCATTTTGAGCCTTAGCTTTCCTCAGTTCATCTTTGCAGGCTCGAACTAATTGCTGATATTCTGTCTTAATTATGTGCCCCTCTTTCCACTTTTTATACTTGTCCTTGTCTCTGTCTCTTTCAATTTGACAGAGAGTTCTTTATATAGTTGTGCTGGTTTCTTTTGAAAGCTGTTATTTTTCTTCTTCATTGGTATTGTGCTAAACCTTTCAAAGTTTCCCAAGCTTCTTGGCTTGTTCTCCCTTTGAGGATTCTCATCCATGGAATCCTTCCCAAGCTCTCTCTAAGTTTATTGAAATTAGTTCTCTTAAAGTCCAAGACTCTAGTTTGATTACGTTCTATTTCTTGTGCTTGCAT